ATATATGATAGGATATGCGCATAAATACAGTTTTAATGATATCATCTGTTGATAATGAGTCATTTATCTAATTATCTCTTGATAATGAAGCATTCATTGTTACAATGGCTTAATTAGGTCAAACAAAACTTATTTAAAATCATATTTAAATAAGAGAAGTCATGCTGGAAGAAGAAACGCCACATCAAGGAACATCCATCAATAATTTATTTGATGGGAGAACAGTCTCCCAACAAATATAAGGGAATGTCCCAGTTATTGTACATTTAAAAAGCATCTTAAACAGTTTCTTAAAAGCTCCCAGTCATGCACTGACTGATTTTGTTAAAATCTATTGTTGTATGTAATTGTCTGGACATGTATTTGTGTGTTTTTGTATGATTGTGATCTTATGTTGTTTTTTTTCTTTTTCTTTCCCTTTCTTAATGCCTCAGGACTACAGATGGAAATTAGCAACAATGCTATAATCTGGCTCATTTTCAGTCTATACAGAAGCATAAGAATGTTCATTAATGTGCACTGGSCTGATTAAATAAAGAATTGAAAAATTTTTTTACCAAAACACAAAGTTTATCCTCTCACCTTACCATTTTCTGCCTTGTAGGTTCGGGGCTCCAACAACTTCGMCCCCGCCTGAAACCCTCTCATCTCCTAAACTTTTACCTCCGCTCAGGTAGAAGAACCACAGGAGGTGTCCCACTTCTGACACAAAACTGTTGTGAAAAATGAAGGAAACTGGAAGACACAGCTTATAGATTTTTTAACAACTGAAGTCGGGCAGTWAAATCCAGAAATGAAACAATTCCCTGTCAGAATCTGTTTAACTTTTGATTGTAAGATGCCTTTTAAACAAGCTTATCAACTTTATTATTTTCATAAAATGCTATCATTTAAGTTGTAAACAAAACGAGACAAAACTGCTTCATTATCTTGAGATAATAGAAAACTCAACTAGTTATCATTAACAACCATTCTTTAGTTTAAACACCAAGAACTGAGCATCTATCACTATTCTGTTAGAGCACCTTTCTAATTCTATTTTTAAAAGCCACACCTTCATAAAAATACTTGTAAGGAATAATTTTGTGAAATCAGAAGTATGAAATGTTAAATCTGAGGTATGTTTCTTACAGAAACAGACCTTATTTTGAAAACAAGAAACTGCTTCCAAGCGTCATTAAACATAACTGCATTGTGATAATCCGATAAGAGCTAATTTAAATTAACATCAAGCTGAAATTATTTAAACATCCCAAGTTAAGTTTCTTTAAAGCATATAAGTTAATATATAAGAACAATTAAGTGCAACATAAGCAAGCATCAGACCGTTAACATCCCCACAACGCCTTTTAATTCAGATTTGATGCTACAKCTGCTGCATCACCGCTCTGTTAAAAGAATCCCTGAGTCAGAATTAAACCAAGTCATTGTGCAGAAACGCTCATCGTGCACAAAGTGACTGCTGGAATAAATGATGATTAATTACAAAGTCTGGCTCTGTGAGCAGATTCAGCCGTTTTGAGATAAAAGAGGCCTTACTGATTATATATTTATATTTACAGATTAATGTGGATCTGTGATGAAAAACACTGGATGAGTCATCCAGCTGATCTGCAGTCCTATCTCTATTTATTAAAGTAGAGAAGCTCACAAATCCCACCCAAAAAAAGGCCAAAGAGCGAGAGTTGCTTTGTGATTAAATCTTTTAATATTCTCAAGTGTTTGAAATTGAAGAGAACATAAAAAATAGCCGTAGAAAAAAAAATCTGATGCCATCGGTGCCACGTAGATTTTAAAAAGTGATGCTTCTAAAGTAGCCTGGAGTTACAGATTCACTTCAGTGATCATAGAAAGTCAGGAAAAAGAAACATGTTTATTTTTAATAACAATAAAATCCTCCAGTGTAAAACCTTTAAGCTTTTACAGAAACGACAAGATGAATTTGGATTTTTGAGACAACAGCAGGAAAGGTTTCTAACGTTTTTTTTAAAACACACATTTTAGAAAACTATCCGTGTAAAAATAAACTAAACAAAGCACATGCTTTCATATCTGCTCATTATCCTGGTACAACATGATTTTTTCAACCTTTCTGCTCTACAGGGATAAGCTTCTATTTGAAGACATTTAACAGAACTAATTAAGGCTTGCATGATTTCTGATCCAAGACGACAATAGGAAGAACAAACAAACAAACAAACAAAAACATGTCYGTTTAAGAGAAATGATCCCAGGGTGTGATGTGGCACCGACAACATCTTCGCCACATTTTTACAGTCTTTGTAATTCTGGACCAGAAAACAAGTCGTAAAAAGAGCAAAACAAAACAAAAGCTAAACTGTAACTGTTGCACCCCTAACAGCTGGGCGTGGAGAAAACCACATGTAGGAGCTTTCTTTAAAACAAAAAAACAAACAAAAAAATTAACAACCAATCAGGTTCAAGTGCTCAAATGGATTTAAAGATCATTTTTCTTAAAGTGGAAATAAACTTTCMCAAAAATCAACTTTAAATTGGTTTTAAATCAAACAAAAATCCACTTTGATCAAATATTTTCCTAAGATTGACACATTTAAAGCTTGTGATCCTATTTAAACAGTTTGACTTAAGAGATTTAACAAGTGAAAATGTTTTCCTTTAAATTTAAAAAACTCAAAACTTTCCTGGAAATGAATCGGGAGGTTTAAAGTGGTTATTAAAACTAAAACAAGTCAAAGATCTGAACCAACAATTTCCTTGGATTTTACCAAACAGAACCTTCATTTTTTAAAACAAAAAGAACATCTTCCTATGAAACTCTGGAGATCCTGTTTCATGATTACTCACTTCTTCCTGCAACCATGTCTTGATTTAATAGAAGATAAAGAGGGTAAACAACAGAAATAACYTTTTTTTAGGGGAGGTAAATAAGCAATCCCTTGCCTGAGCAGGCTTCATTTAAGGCAAAGGTTAAAAATATTCCTACTACAGTCTATGCTAACAGCTGTGAGGTCGCGTGAAGACTGGTGGTGACGGGTTGGAGCGGCGGCAGCGCGACGTTCAACCGGGGGCTGCGCGGCCGTGATTCAGGGCTGTGATGTGTGAGGAAATGAACTCCTGCTTAAAATCACATTTAGGATGTCTGGTTAGAGGTTTAACACACTCCTGAAATGTGAAAACTGGATTAGTGAGAACGGAGCGGCGCGGAGGGGAGACCTGGAACAGACGRCAGCTTTTCTCGAGGATGACTGTTTTCACATTCAGAGCCCTTGCTGTGGTTTAACAGACTCCAGCCTGCCCCGTCCAGGACGCTGAGGAGGTCATTACACCAAAACCAGGATTCAAACTGGAGGCGTTTCTCTACTTAACCTCAGGTAAGTTTGTTGGTCCCCTCTTGTTTCAATAACTAATATATCTGCAGGACCTCAGCACATGATGGAGTAAACAGAAAGAAATGATGCCGCTGTGTGAACCACAGCTGAGAACATTATTACAAAGCAGAAAGTTCATCAACGTCATCAATGGACGCAAGAGTAAATGCAACCCCAGGTTGATCAGACGAATGGTGAACATGGAAGAAAAGTGTTTTGTGGAAGGCTACCAACAAATTTACTCACATTTAGAGAAACCCGACGATGAGTGATTTAGTTCTTTTACTTTCCTGACATTTCAATTTAAATTGTTGAATCATGTCAGTGTCAATAATCACCAGAAAAACTTAATTTTTGACCTGATTTGGGTGACGTGACCTGATGAAGGAGAGCCAGGCTGGGCCTCAAGGCACCAGTTTCCATCACAAGTCCCTGTTAGTGAGAAAAGGGACTAAAAACGTCCGACATGCTGAACATTTAGAAACGCTGACCCCCCCCAAACTGCCCCCAGCTGCAGGAGAAGAATAAATTAAATATGACTAGACTGTGTTCTGTGAGCTAACGGAATCAACATTTCACCTCTTCCTGATTGGTCGATGACTGACAGGAAGTGGATGTTGGACATGCAAGCCTAAAAAATACGGACTGAAGCGTGTGACCTCATGATAGGAGCTTAATCTTGTGTGTGGCTCGAGTTTAACCGGACTTGAATGGGAGATGGATGGATTAGGAAGAGATGCACAGATACTGCGTTCCCCCGCCCCTCCCTGTATTCTGTAAAAACACCAGAGGAGCTCGAATCCTACTGTTTTTTCCTCTCGGACGCTCGTGTCATTACGGGTTTTTAACTCTGGTGTGGGTTATGTTTTCACAGGTGGGTCTCCTCCTCGGCCTACCAACCGAGGCCATGATAGGAGGAGAATGGAGCAGGGTGGTGGTGGTAGGGGAGGTCAGACACCGCGGGGGGGCTGTACGCAAACGGCCGAACACAGAAGGGGGGGGGGTCACACAGTTTAGTTTTGTTTCTTGGCCTCCTGGTCTCCGTAACTGGAGCCTGTTTTCTTTACCTCCGTGACCCCGATGAGACGGCGGATGGCGATGGAGGCTGGGAAAGAAGAAAATAAATTAAAACAAGGGGGTGAACGAGGACATTCACACAAGTTAGTTTAGGAACGTGGGTTCACCCTACCTATGATGAGGAAGAGGATAAAACCGATGATGAGGAGAGGGGAGCCGCTGACGACCACGCCGCAAGCAAAATTGATGAGGGGCGACAAGAGAAGGGTGGCCCAAAACAGGAAGTTGAGCAGCGTCCAGGGACGGCGAGGTGGGATAATGGTGGGTCCGGGGAACTTGCCTTCCTTGTTGTACTGTTCCTGCAAGGCGTCCTAAAGGACAAAAAAGGAGTAAAAATATAATAATCATTTTAAAACTCAAATAATTTCCGTCACATTTACCGATTGAGCTTTTTTTGACGGTTAAATATTTCCATATTTAGATGAACACTTGCGTTTGATTTGAGCAGAACAATCTAACAAACAAATCAAACATTTCTCTTACCTTCTCCTGGTAGAGCTTGTGCAGCCAGTTGGCACACTCCTGCTCATCATCTGGTATGTCCTCCACAGAAAACCGCCTGCATGAGACGAGAGTTTATGATACAATCAGACAGAGCTATAGTTAGAAATGTGTGATGCAAATTTTTTATTTTTATTTATTATTTATTGGCAAGGAAATCACAGAAGAAAAAAATTATAAGCATAAATATAATTGTGTGACAGAAAATTATTTTATTATGTATTTTATTCTCATGCAGCTCAGTAAAACTGAAATTCTGTGGCCTGTAATAACATCTTCTCACCAGCAGAGGGATTTAGGCGACCGCTGATTGAATGGTGTCTTATGAAGCTCAGTTTAAGTGTTTTTCAACATAACTTGAGGTTCATTTTGTCAAACTTTATAGCTAAATAAAAAAACAACCACAATGTATTATGTAGATGCCAACATATGACAAGAAAATTTGTATTTATTAAGCACATTTTTAGCATTTTAAGGTCTTACAATGTAAACAAAAACTGTGACAATACTGTGCAAAAGGTTTGAGTCACCTCTCWTTTGTTTATATTTTCCTTTCAAAGACCGAGATTTTGGAAGAAAAATAGAGTGAAATAAGATGTGATTTACAGCTTTTGAACTCTAATCTATTTCATATATAATACAATGCTCTGCTGTCATTTTCAGACTTTGCAGAAACCCTGAACGTTAAAGTGCCYGTGACATGCATGTCCTTCAAATACAAAAAGTCAAAGAGAACATCTTTATATTTACAAAACTTRGCAATAAACACATAATTTTGGCCATTTTGTCACATATCTAGCATATTTCTTCTGAATTTGGCTCAGACAAAATGAACCAGGAAGTGACATCAAAGGGGAACTGTTTCAGAAAGAAAACTCCCTGGTCTTTGTTTATTAAAACAATATTATTTAAACTCTGACTCTTCTTCTTCTCTGATAGTAACTCCAAATAATCTAAAGAAACATTAGATTCTCATCTACAGTGTTGTTGGCCATTGTAGTGATTCTCTGTTTACATTCAGACATTCCCCTGTGACATCACTTCCTGTTACTGCACATGCAAATATCTCCACAACTGTTCATCTCTGTGGTATAAAATGTTCTTTGCATTTTGTTATAAATGTTATAGTTCCAAATAGGCATTCATCTTTATTAGAAAGGTTTGATGTCATGGGCACTTTAATTTGAAAGTATTTTGAGCAGAAGTTGAACTCACTGAACACGCATGTCAGCTTTGTACTTCTTGCCATTGACGATGCCCAGGAGAGTTGGCGTTTGCTTGTCTTTGAAGTTCAGAGTCACATCGTACACAGCGGTTACTGTAACACAGAGAAACATTTGTTAAAAACAAAAAAAACGGGCGTTTCCTACATTTAACTGTGCGTTTGCGTTCTCCACCTGTGCCCTTCAGACACTGCAGCGTGGTGGTGAACCCTTTGGTCCGGGGCAGAAGGTGATACTTGAGCTTGGGCAGGCCTTTACTCTCCGCCACCTGCATGCTGATTTGGTGCTTTTTCTCTGTGAAGCGGGTTCCCTCGCAGTACAGCAGGAACTGCGCAGAGACAAAAGCTGGGTTTATACAAACACACACGCACACACACACATACACACACAGAGACCAGGAAAAAAAATTAAAGCACAATCTTAGATTGACCTCTTTTCTATTGTCCCAACCACYCAGTAAAAGACTACACTACCAGCTCACTTCAGTGGCACAAAAACAGGCAGATGGATGATAAAWCAAAAATAACTACGCTTGACTTATGTGGGACATAATGGTTGCATGTGTCTGATCTAACTTGGAGAACTGAGAGGTGAGAAAAAATCAAGAAAAGGTGATGTAACATGATAAAATGCCATGAATGTAAAACTGGAGGAGGTGCTTTTTCTTTTTGCTTCCATGAAACTGAATTAAGATGCAAGACAAACGCATCCAAACAGCTGAAAGTCCAAAAAATAAAAACACTGTAACTACATAAACGAATGCTGAGAAGTAGAAAATACCTTTCTCTTTGAGTTGTAGTTATACATCATAGGAAGACGAGAGGTCTGGCGGTGCTTACCCACATACATTCAGGATAGTCTTTGAGCCTTTCCAGGCCAGAGAAGACAGTGTCTCGGTCCTCCTCCCACTTTCGTTTGCAGAAAACGATTTCCAGGAAGTACCAGGTCCAGCCAATCAGAGGAACCTTCAGTAGCTCGTGTTTAGCCAAAACTTTCGAACTCTAGAAGAACGGATTAAAAACGTATTAATAAAAACACAAATTAAGACAAGAACCACAGCAACAGCTCAGCCCCTAACTGACCCCTAAGACGCCGTATCTTTCACACATGGTCCAGCCACACAGGAAGTCGATTTCAAAGTTGTGGTTGAGGATGATGATGACGTGCTCCTTGCCGAACTTGTCCACCGTCGCCTGGTCAGTATACAGAGTGCATTCTGTTCCCGACCACCACTCCAACATCATCACCAGCTCTGAGCGGAGACAAAAACCCAACCGGGAGATGAGGAAGAGAGCAGCGTTTCACCTACCAAACATTAAATACATTTATTTTGTGCTCTATTATATTTCAACAAAGCATTTAAAATCACTGTCTTGTTCAGTCACTTGATAGAATCATGCGTCTTTCTTTGCAGATGTAGAGTTTCATGTTCAAAAAGCACAACAGAGTAACGTCTACTCACGACTCCAGAGGGAGTAGGAGAGCCGACAGTTGATTCTGCGGTAGAGCTGCTTGTTGATTGGCCAGAGGATGCAGGTGCACAGCTGAATGAAGTTGATGATGAGGCCGCTCACCACAAACACAAAGCCCATCAGCAGCTGCAGGATGAACAGGCTCTTCAGGTAGGCCAGGAGAGCCATGGCTGAGGAGCCTGAAGGGCCGAGTGGGCTCCTCGCTYGCTCTATACTCTACGACCAAGCTGGGAAGCAGGGACGTTGGAAAGATGTGGTTTGACTTGACTTCAGGAAAATGTTTTATTTTAAAAAGACAAATGTGGTTCTTACCACGGCGGAACTCCTTTACAGGCCGCGTTTACACGGCCCGTCGGCCAATATCACAGTCCTTTGAAAGACAGGAGGGGAGAAAAGTTCATCACACAGATCATTATTTAAATCGGGCGTGAGGAAGTACCAACCATCTCTGGTTAGTTGATCTGAAGGTCTGAAACATAAGGCTTAAATTACTGCTATCCAAATTTAGAACAGGAATTATATATTTTTCTGTTCACAATAGATCCAATTACCATCTATAACGTGGTTAAAATATATATATATTAGGTCATCTTTACACTTTCCATCAGAGTGGCTAAAGACCAAGCAGACCTGAATGAACTGTTCCCACATCTGCACCAAATCCCATTAAAGTGTAGGGTAAGCCAGTTTTAACGCCGTTCCAATGAACATTTCTAATCTGTGGTTAGAGGAATACTGTGGCTCATCGGGACAGTTATCCAAGTTTCGTAGCTCTCTGAATTTGTGGTAAAACATTCTAAACTCAAAAGGATCTAATTATCAGTAATATTCCTCTTCTTACATTATTGCAATAAGTCATACTAACTTGACTTAATCATGATGGTGACATTATTCTAAAAGAGCTAAAGTTGTGTTTGGTACTAGCCTGGTAAAAACCAGACCCTTGTCCTTCACTTTGCTTCATATGAGGGTCTGGACTCGCTGCTATAGAGAAGCAATTCTGGCTGGAGGCGTGGCCTCTGTTGAAGTGTGCGTGTCGCTGTGAAGGAGGCTAAGCTAAGAAGCTAACCGGAAAGCCTGAGCGCTGTAAACAACCCTACTGAGAGGAGAAAAGTACCGAGCCAAACGAGACGGCTGTAAATGAGAGCTGCTGCTTTGTCAGACAAATTTAATTTGGAAGCCTTATCAACAGACTGGCTTCATTCACTTCCTCCACTGCCATTGCTAACTAACTAGTAGGGACTGTGCAGAAAATCRACRTCATTCAAAACCCCGCCTTCTGTTTGTTGAYTGGCCCAGGTAAAATAAACTACAAACAGASACTRTGCAGAAAATCGAYGYTCTGTTCTCTGATTGGTTCRGYTAAAAATCTGCCAGCGAAATCCTTGTCTATGGGAGAAATACCAGACGGAGCAGTGAAGGGAAACTAGAATTGAGCGGAACTGCGCAGGAAGGCAAGGGCCAGGCTAATTTGGTACTAGATGTATTGCCATCAACATCTGTAAATAAATGAACATTTAGTTGTTTTCTTTGGCATAACTGACAAAGTGCAGAAAATGCAAAACAATGGTATAAGAAAAGCTAAACAAAAAAGCACACTTTATTCATTCAGTCAGTAAATACATCCTTAGTAAGAAATGTTGACACAGGTGCACCTTAAAATTAAATTTTAACTATATTTATGTTTGTCACTGTCTCAATGAGTAAAAGCAACTTTAAATTGGTACAAAGCCTGATTGTTGTAGGGAGGMACAAAGTTTTTAGTGTATCGTAATCGCACACATCACAACACTCCCAAACACATTGGAGGAAACCGAATCTACTTGGAACAATAATAAAATGTTCCAATACAGTTTTAAAATCCTGCTGCCCGAGTAYCAAGTATCATCCTGAGGACTGATAATCAGTCTGAACACGCAGCTCTGTCTGTGTGACCTTTGTTCTGACTTGGTGAGAGTGACGGGGAGGTYAAAGTTACATTTATCTTTTTATCTGGGGGATGACTGAACACGAGGCAGAGAGACCAGAAAAATGTGGGATATTTGTCARCTCTGGTCCTTGTGTTCGTCAAAAATCTCTCATGAACTACTGTAAAATAACTGAATGAAATTTACAGAGACGTATGTTTTAGTGATAAACTTTTCAGGTTGACATCATTCAAGGTGGCTGCCACATACAATTCATCTTATAAAGCACAAAAATTAGGTGTGGTAGTAGGTGAGACTAATGTTGAACACATCTTGTGAGTGCTAAAACTGTGCAAGGCCCTTAATAATTAATTAAACGTAGGTATAATGAGTAACAAAGACCCAAAACCAAAGTCGGGCAGGTCAGGCAATATCACAGTTTATCTGAATATTATTCACTCCACTGCTCCAATCTTTATTTGTCTCTTACAATATTATTTGAGAAAACCTGCTCAAACGTGCTAAAAATAAAGTTATTATCCTGACACTTCTCAGTTGTTTTGATTGATTCGTTCAAACAACCAAGCTGTCAAACAGTTATTTTAGGATTAATTTTTCCACACCTGAGGGAATAAAATAACCACAATCCAGGTTCAGTTTCCCCGACCAAACGCTGTTGCTGCAACAAGCGGGTCCTCAGACAGAGGCMTTTCCAAATATATCATGAACTTTGCTCTCATTTCTCTTCACAGACACTCTCTCAGATACGATCTCTGTTCGCACCCTCATACAAAACAACTGCAAACTTCCCAAAAGGAGAAATAATAGGGGCGTCCTCCACGTAATATCTGAAGCAATAAATTGAAGCAAGCTGTGGCCTTGATAACATAATATTTTCTACACAAAACCAACATTTAAATGATTGATTTGGACTTCCAATATTCACCAAGTTGTCTAAAAAACGACTAAATGAACGTATTTAAAATTGTAAGGGTTTTGCATATTTCAGTGCTTAGTACAGTTATGTGTACTGAACTGAAAAATGATTAATTGTATTTTGGATTTAAGAGAACAATTAGCACAGCTTCTACATTTTTGCCAAGCAAACATTCGAAGCTTGTGTCGTARCCGTCTCTCGTCTTATCAACCCACAACACAAGCAGAACTGGCTAAACGGCTGCAGATCACATCAGTCTGGGTGAAAACATCATTTTTCACATTTGTTCACAGAAAACATTAGTATCCGAAACAAGCAGATATCCTTTAAAAGATGCATCTTAATATAATGTAAACAACAAATTGTTATATCCTTGCTCATCGTTTTGGGTTTGTAAACCAGTTTTTAGGAACAAGTGGGTATAAGTACTTTTATACACAAACGCTCAAAACCACTGAGTATTTAACAAACTTTACCAACAACAACACCCATCTAATCAAGCAAAACAACTTTCCATGTAATGTTGAAACTTTTGAGACAGGAGAAAAACATGCACAGGTGGTTTAGATAAAAATATATCAAAGAAACACAGTCGGGGTAGGGGGTTAGCCACCACCCGGAGGAAAGATTAGGAATGCTGACTGGGTAAAAGCTGCTTAAGGCCGGACAGCTGCTTCTGCAACACATCACCTGAATGCAGCTTCTACATGGACAAACAACCACTGCTTTCAACAGATTGTCGAAATGAGCAACAGATAAGCACGATAGTGTTTTTGAAACAGCTTCATTATTATTATATTTCCATTTTAAGTAAACGAGCCTAATTAGGCGAGCAAAGAACTAGCTTGGTTGTATAGAGCGAGAGAGGAACCAAGTTCGGCACAAACAACACAGCAAACGTCTTAGCCGCAGTGTCCACAGCAGTCGTTTTACTCACCAGTAGACATAGTAGGCCATGGCCATTAACACCATGGCGCCACAAATGCCAGTGAAGATCATGACAGCGCTCTGGTTCAACATTTTGGCTCCCGGTCTTCCACAAACTCAAAGCCAAAGTGGAAAAACTCGGCGGAAGGTCACAGGCTGGCCTGCTTCGTGTCCATGATAATCCCACAGCAGGAAAAAACTGAGATTATGATGATGACAGCATTAATACAGATCCCAGGACCCGATGGTGCAGCTGCAAGATCCGCTCAGCAAAACTTCACCCATCAGCGATAAAAGAAATTTACCAAAAAATGACTGGATTAGGAATAYACAGCAAAGTAATTATAATCCAATAATGAATGCTAGAAAGAAGACTAGAAAGATGGTTTCCTTCTGGAAGGAAGGAGGCACRCATGTCCTGTAAGCAGGGCCTTGGATTCCCATCTTCTAATCCAGTGGATCAGATTAGTGCTGATTAGCAGGCTATGTGCACCCTGGTTATGTCACATTTCATTAACATTAACAAAGAMCAAGCGCAGGTTTCCTCCAGCCAGGGTAGAGATGGCATCTGTTTTGGTAAAGGGACCAATCATAACGCAGATTTGAGAGACTCACGTTGTCATTTGCCACCTACTGGTAACACCTTTCATTAAAGTAAGCGAAGAGCTAAAGGGGATGATCAACAGTTGGCTTGAATGATCTCTTTGTGAGCTGATGAAACTGGAAAACTATGCAAAAGTCTCAAAGTCAGCTGATCTGGATAAGAAATGATCTCTACACATTAAAAAGGTCTAGCATTCCTTGAAGAAGTGTATATCACCCATCACCATTCTAACCTAGAAAAGGACATTATGCGTAGAGATGTCACACTTAATGATTAAAGGAATATATTTGGTTCAATCGGAGCAGCCTTACATGTTTAAAACACATCTATAACCATTTAAAGGCTGCATTGGCTCTGTGTGGATCTGACCACAGTAATAGGAGATGACAGATAAGATTCATGAGGTCCTTATCTCTGCAGTGTGGTAAACTATAGGGTTAATGAAAAGAGTAAAATGGCATTACTATTTGAATCTGAATGCCAAAAACTAGAGAATCAGACTCKTATTGCAATGGTCTTTAATTACCTCTAAGATTTACCTTTCTTAGATAAAAGCTTATCAATCTATGTTTCAAAGTTATATGAGCCAACACTGTTAGATTAGCAGATAAARCATGAACTTTAAACCAACTGGTTTGTAGGTTGTCTTTCAGCCACATGCTTATAACTTTCATCCTACGTCTGTCTGTTCTTTCACCTAATTAAAATACAGATAATTAAATAAATTCTGTATTGACYGTCAAACAAGATTGAACTTGACGGCGTGCAGCAGACTATCATTTGTTTCCTATCATTTTTAGCCCCTGACCGACAAATACATCTCACCAGATTTTTAGATAAAATGTTTTTTATTGTTCCCAGTTTATGGTTAAAGTACAGTCTTAATCATCCTTTCAAGAGTTCCTGCATTCTGTCTTTTTTTTATTATTTAAAAATATATTCTTTGCAAACTAATAAATCAATCATAAACAAGTTATCCTAAACTATACAAGGTGTCAAAAGACTTTACCCCAACAGTCTTCCAGATACGCACAGATACAAATTCAATACAAACAAAGCAGTCCGCTAAATCTGCTGAAAATCACTCAAAAGCTGGTGTCGTGGTTGACCCACATTAGGCTGGCTGTAATATGAACGGGTAAACAAATATGGTGGAATTGGATRAGAGTATATAAGTAAATCTACTCCTAAATGCAAAAAAATAATTAAAAAAGAAAAGTTGAGTAAGACAGCTGTCAAGAATAAGGATTAAGTATCAATCAGGGTGTGGCAGCAGCAGAGACAGAGCTCAGCAGTCAAASACATGCAGCTTTGTTTCAATCTAACCTTATCGTTTTATCTGCGACTCTCTGGCAAAGCTGAGCGCAAAAACACACCAATCTGAAATCTATACCTCAAGTAGCTCGTCCATGGACATCACCATATTCACGTTTTTTTGTAGGTAAACAAAGTAGTTGGAAGCCATTCACAAGGTTTTAATTAAAGGACAATTTAAACCATCAGTGTGAGGGAACTACTTTTTGAGATTTCTTTGTACCAGTCCTCATGACACGGCATTGAGCACCTTTAACTAAAAACCTCTTTATTACACACACCACCTTATGTAAAATGTCAAGTTTTAAAAGCTATGGTTTGTTTGACTGTACAAACACTGTAAGCCAGACAGAGCAGCCAAAACTAACAAGGGCTTTAACATGGCATTTAAGGAACAACTGAACCGTTCCTCATTTGATTTTTAGTATGAATCTGTTTGTGGGAAACTGCTTTTTAAAAAAAAAACAGTTTTATAACAATGCTGCAGCTTTACAAAGGCAGTACTGTTATAGAGCTGTTGGATCTTGCAGAAGGCATGAACATTCAGTTGTGCTAAAATAAAAAGACAGATGGATGAGATGGTGAAACAAATACAAAAAGAAATACAGACAGGCAGACTCGTGCATGTGACACACTAATAATAAACATTTGCTCAACGTTTAGCCAAAGGCATTTCTCCACCAGCTGTGTGCCACTTCACCATCATCATTGTGTGTGCACCTGCTATTGCTGCACTTCTCTGCAGCCCAAAAGAAACAACTAAATATATAGTACGTATTAAACTTGCAAATATATTGTTTATACTTAAGGAAAATATATACCCAAGTCTCCAGCTCTTGCCATCATGCAAATTAGTAAATTTTAGTTACCAGCAGCCTAATAAGAACTTGAACACTACAGAAACTCCGCAGAGAACATGCTAACACAAGTTAGCATGCTAGGTTAGCAGAACCTGTAAAGCAAGAAAAATGTTATAGTTGTCAGGGTAAAAAATGACTCAGTTTGTTAAGTTGTTTATTTACTAATAAATGCCAACTCTTTCCTACGTAGTTACTTATTGTGTAGTGAGGAAACCGAAGCCGTTCTTTGCAAGCTAGCCTGCTGACATTAGCATCTAGTAGTAACGATGCTGTGCCCCGGTCTTACCTGAAGATGATTCACTTCACAGTCCGCAGATTTAGTCGGAATTTCCGCTGCCGCCTGCACCGTCAGAGGTCGTAAATTAAMTCTGTCGTTAAATTCTGCTTAAATTCACCGGATTCCTTAAATGCAGTACGAAAATACCTCCGGATGAGGGCTTTTAAACGAGCGCTATTGTTTGTCGGTTAAAGCCCCACATTTCCTCCGAGCCCATCTGAAGGCGGCTGGGTCCAACATCCGGTTCGACCTCCCTCCCACCTCCTCACTCTGCACCACGCAGATTCTGCGCCACAAAACGGCGGACCTCTACAGCCCCTCTTTGGCCTGAAAGTCTAACTGCATGTGTGTTATCGCCAACAAATTAAATTTACACACATCCCTTCGCAAATTAATCCACAATTTTGAGCAATATATTTTGAGCTTAATTTGCTTTTGACCACTTTATCCACCGATTCAGTCCAGTACCTAAATATGTTCAGAGAAAGTCTTTTTTATGACTCCCAAACTAAAGGGAAAGAACCATTAGTGTCAAAGAATATCAGACAACTTGGCCAAGAACCAAGTTTCAAATGAACCCTCAGGCACCTTATTGTGGCAGTCTGCCAATACCAAACATTAGTTTGACACATAAACAGATTAAAATCCAACCTTATACTATAAAGGCTGCAATGATCTTTGTCATTCGCCTTACATAAACATCAAATGTTCAGAAAATGAAAAACTGGTTGCACAGGTCCCAGTGCCAGAATATCAATACACATTCCTCCAGCCTTCTGGTGTTCTTGCACAGACACACCTGTCTGAAGGTAAATATCTTGCAAAAGTGATGATGCTTGCTCAAACTACAATGACAGTTATGGGTGTTTTGGAAACTGTCTCATCATCTGACACTCCCTTGTGATCTGCACCTTCAAGCTGTGACAAAATGAAACAAATTCTTTATAAATACTTTAAAGAGATGATGAGTTAAAAATATATTAAAAATATAGCAGGTAAAATAAGTATTGAACACGTCACCATTTTTCTCAGTAAATATATTACTAGAGGTGCTAATGACATGAAATTTTCACCAGATGTTGGTAACAACCCAAGTGATCCATACATACAAAGAAATCAAACCATAAATGTCCAGAAATGAAGTTATTTGTAATAATGTGGAATGGCACAGGGAAAAAAGTATTGAACACATGAAGAAAGGGAGGTGTTAAAAGGCATGGAAAGCCAAGACACCAGCTGAACTCTCTCAGTAATTAGAAAACAAGCCTGCCCCTTGTCAGTGCAAGTTAATATCAGCTGGTTTAGTCCCAAATGATGGCCAGGTATCACACAAGAACCATCTGATGATGGGTAAAAGTAAAGAGCTCTCTCAAGACCTTCACAACCTTATTGTTGCAAAGCATAATGATGGCATCGGTTACAGAAGAACGTCTAAACTTCTGAAGGTTCCAGTGAGCACTGTTGGGGCCATAATTCAGAAGTGGAAAGAACATTATTTCACCATAAACCGACCACGACCAGGTGCTCCTCGTAAGATTTCTGACAGAGGAGTGAAAAGAATTAATAGAAGAGTAGTCCAAGAGCCAAGGACCACTTGTGGAGAGCTTCAGAAAGACCTGGAATTAGCAGGTACRWTTGTTTCAAAGAAAACAATAAGTAATGCACTGAACCACCATGGCCTGTATGCACGCTCACCACGCAAGACTCCACTGCTGAAGAAACAGCATGTTGAAGCTCCTTTAAAGTTTGCTGCACAACATTTAAACAAGCCTGTGTAATACTGGGAGAATATAGTCTGRTCAGATGAGACCAACATTGAACTGTTTGGATGCCAGAATACACATCATGTTTGGAGGTCAAATGGCACTGCACAYCAGCCCAAAAACACCATACCAACAGTGAAGTTTGGAGGTGGGAACATCATGGTGTGGGGCTGTTTTTCAGCATATGGTACTGGCAAACTTCAAATAATTGAAGGAAGGATGAGTGGAAAAATGTACAGAGACATTCTTGATAAAAATCTGCTTCCGTCTACCAGGATGATGAAGATGAAACGTGGCTGGACATTTCAGCAAGACAATGACCCCAAACACAGTCAAGGAAACTCTCAGTTGGTTTCAGAGAAAGAAACTAAAGCTGCTGGAATGGCCCAGCCAATCACCTGACCTGAATCCAACAGAAAATCTATGGAAAGAACTAAAGATCAGAGTTCATAGAAGAGGTCCACGAAACCTTCAAGATTTGAAGACTGTTTGTGTGGAAGAATGGGCCAAAATCACACCTGAGCAATGCATGCCACTAGTTTCTCCATACAGGAGGCGTCTTGAAGCTGTCATTGACAACAAAGGCTTTTGTACAAAGTATTAGATAAATTTCAGTAAGTGTGTTCAATACTTTTTCCCTGTGCCATTCCACATTATTACAAATAACTTCATTTCTGGACATTTATGGTTTGATTTCTTTGTATGTATGGATCACTTGGGTTGTTACMGACATCTRGTGAAAATTTCATGTCATTAGCACCTCTAGTAATATATTTACTGAGAAAAWTGGTGACRTGTTCWRTMCATATTTTACCCGCTGTATATATAAGTGAACTATTCCTTTAAGGCTGCAGGTGGCCAGAAATAATAGCCTGTCTGGTTATCTGGGCTAATGCTGGCTATTCTTGTGGATTAGTGCTGGAGAAACAGAGCTGAGTCGTCTGGCCTCTATCAAAGCAGGCATCTAATATATTTAAGACTTGCTTSTTCACTTTCAATAATATTCTTTCCTATAATCAACATAGGATTGTAAGGCTGCTGTATGCACATCATTTGGAAGCAAATGGATGGATGGATGTTTAAAATAACAATAAATAAATAAATGAATAAATAAATAAATAAATTGCTCCCTCTTGTGATCATCTTGCAGAATACCAGCACATATTTAGGAGACTGATTTAGAYGACTGGCAGAGAAGACAAATAACTCATACAAATGAAATGCACACGTTTTCAGTACAAGATTTGTCATTTATTTCTTTGTTCATATGTTGCTCTACAACAGAGCAACGGCTCAAACGTTTGGCACTTGACTCTCTAACGCTACATGCGAAGATGTGCTTTTTATAGAAACAAAAAACATTCACAACATTTTGTCTCTCTAACCCTATTAAGGCGAAACAGTGTGGTCTCTCGTACAGACTCTTTTTGTGAGATACGACAACCATCGAAAAACGAACACATCATTTAGTAAATATATTAAAGATTATCTGTGCAAATATACCTCAATTTGAGATAGAACTTGAATCTAACACGTTACACACCTGCTAGTTCATTGCATTGCATAATTTAAAAAAGGTCTAAAATTAAACATTTTTCACATTAGATGCTATTGTGTTTATTATATACATTTTTATCTAAATAAACAGTCAAATTAAACAGGTTAGTGAAACTAGACAATGTTTGAAGAATTTGCATAAGATGTTCAACTTTTTCTGGAGATTACAATATYTAAATTTACTTGAAGCAATWAAACATGAAATAACATTTTAAGCAAACTGCATGCACTTGGACCATTTGATCAGTTATTTCACAAAAATATGCACGTTGTTTTTTTTCAGATTGGTAATAAAAAAATGTGAGAATTGGAATAATTACGGCCTTTGTAGTTTATTTTGAAAAGAATATAAAGTGGAAACTATGTTCATGGATTAGCTCAGCTTTACTTGTCAGAATAAGCACATACCCCATCACATTATTTAATCAAACTGGTAAAAATGAATTAAAGAAAAAAAAATTACCAACTTAAAAAATTAGCAGCATGTCTCTGTACCCGAAACCTTTGTTGTATTAAAAAGCTGTTCCTAAAATTTGAGTCAGGAACCAATTGTGCATGAAAATTTGGGAAGATCTACAGGGATTCAATTATATTAATTGCTAAAAAAATATTTAGYCATTTTGTTAAAAAGAAAAAAAAAGTCACGGATAAAATGCAATAAAATGGGTAGCAATGTTTGTTAAAGACAAAAAGCTTATTAGCCATACATGTACAATTCAGCCAAAATTAGTTGGAACCATCCGTTTTTGCAACTTTTATTTTTTTGGGTTTTAATTTTAAAACTTTGGGAACCAATGCAGTAGGGAGAATATTCTGCTCCAGGACTCTGCTTAAGTACATTTTAATCACAGTGAACTCCAACAGTATGGATGTGGCCATTTTAATAAGTGCGCAAAAATAAAATAAATAAATTGGCAGCCAAGATTAGTGCTTATTAAGACCACTTCCTCTGGTTTTACAGTTTGTTCTTGAGCTGTTTTAATTAGCCATGCATAAGTAAACCAATAACAAATGTTTGAGGTGTGGGAGAGGTTGGGTTTAAAAAAAGTCAAATGCCTGTCCTGAGCCCGGTTCTCCTGGAGGTTTCTTCCTGTTAAAAGGGAGTTTTTCCTTTCCACTGTCACCAATGTGTTGCTCAGGGTGGGAGACTGCAGCTGYGTTTCCATTGCAAATGTGCGCAAAACTTTGTCGATACTATGTTAATGTCGAAAAACACAGTTTTGCAATTGCGGTGTTTCCATTAAGTAAGAAACACTATTAAAGTCACTCGTGAATACGTTTGTTCTCGCGATAAGTCATGCACAAATCACTGATTTTCTCTTCAGAAGAACAGGAATGAGTTATTTTTTAACAAGACGTTTTTTTTCTTACTGTGCCATTCATGAACCTAAAATTACTTTTTTGTTTTTAACCAATGGACGGATGAAGTCTACACAGGCCRTACTACAGACACATTATATTCATGCTTCTTGAAATTAAGAACAAAAGARGCAGAAGAGAGATACAARAAAWTTTAAAACAAGTTGGTATGGATAATAAGAAAATCATAAAGTACGATCGGAAATATCCCAGTATTTTGTAAAGATAAGTGCTGTTAATCAAAAACAGTATTGTGCAGGCATTTATGTTAATTAAAAAAAAACATCCTTAAAAAGTTGAAAAAATATGGCATTAGAGGACCAACRCTACAGTGGGTATCTAGTTATTTGAAAAACAGGAAACAGTTTGTACAAATAAATGATGTAAGATCAGAACTCTGTAATATCACATGTGGAGTTCCTCAAGGTTCTGTATTTGGACWAAAGTTAYTTATTTTATACTTCAATGGCTTTTAAATGTGWCRGGGCTTTTTAAATGTGTTCTATTTGCAGATGATACCAATTTGCAAAAATACAAACTTGGTTTCAACTTAATAAATTATCAAGTTTGGATAAAACATGATATTCAGTAACAGAAAAACAAATCAAAGTTCCATTTAGAGTTGATGGTGTTGAAATTTGTAGGTCAGTGAGGTGAATTTTTGGGTGTCATTGATGAAAAGCTGACATGGAAACCTTATGAATTATTTAAGAATAAAAATACTTAAATGTATTGCATTACTGTGCAAAGTAATGGAATACTCAATTATAAAGCTCTGTATGTGTTGTATAATGCAATAACTGTTCCATAATTAATTTATTGTATTGAAGTCTTGGGGAAAGCATGCAAAAACAATTATAAATCGTTTTTGGTTTTACAGAAAAGAGCTATAAGAATTATCACTAGAAAACATTACTGTCACCCATCAAATACATCGTTTAATCAGTTGAAATTTTTGAAGTTCTATGATTTAATTGATTATAGTATTTTATCTGTTGTGTATAGGGCCCATAAAAATATATTACCTCTAAACATCCAATTAAATTTTGTTAAGAGATAAAGTTGCTACAATCTTAATGGGATAGAGATGTTTGTGAAACATAAATTTTGAACTAGGAGCAGTGTACTTCAATCTAAGGAATAATCTGGAGTGATGTTAAAAATGCCGGATCAATGTTTATGCTTAAGACAAGTTGGTTTGTTGAAGAAATATGAAATAGTATAATGTGTATCCATAAGAATTTATGTCCAAGAAGGCTTTAATGTTGTTTTTGTTTTATTTTTGCTATTTATGCATTATTTATTTATTTAAAAATGGGCAGATATAAGATTTTTTCTTTCTGCTGCCTTTCATTATCTTTATGATTTGTATTTGTTATTGTATATAGAATTTATTTAATTTTTTAAAGAAACGAATAAACTTGTAAAATAAAAATAAAAATATTTATGGCAGTGACACCGGTGTGTTTGTCKATGAGAAAAAAGCACATCCCACTGCCACTGTTGTACCATCCCAGAGGATTTGTAAGGCAGAAACACAAGGATGATTTTAATAGGAAAATCCTACGTGCCCCAGCACGCTGTCTGGATCTGTACCCACAGTGTGAACGCTCACAAAAGGTCTACAGTTTTTTGTCTGAAGACGTTTATAAAACCTTTGCTTCTATTACGATGGAGGGATTCTCGATGTCGGCTTTGCTCTGGATCATCCTCAGCTCCAGCTGCGCGGGACTGGGCTTGTTCCCAGGACCAGCCACCTCTGAAAGAAAAAAGTGACAATCAAATCACGGGATTYATCAACTTGTTACTCCTGTTCCTAATACAAGTGACACCCCTGGCTAATAGAGAAGCAATGGTTGAAATATTTCCTCGCAAAATAAAACACTAAGTTATTAAAAATACTAATAGTATGACCCAAACAGAAGAAAACAAAGTAAAAGACTCTTGTGACAAAAACAAACCCTACCATTGGCATAAGTGATGGTCCTCTTAAGGACATGGTGTATAGCAGAAACAGTCTTTTCACAGGCGGTCTGAAACACAATCAAAAGACAACAAAGCTACACTGCACTGTGTTTTTTTAAAAGCAGATAGTGGACGCACACAAGACTGGACAGTTAACGTCTTACTGAAAATACCTTTAGGTCCTTGGGGTGATGGTAAGTCCAGGCTAGCAGCATGGCAGCGAACAGGTCTCCTGTTCCTACAAACGCAGCGTCCACTTTAGGAATGTCCATGCAAATTTTCTGACACGTAATGGTCCCATCTGGCTTTCCTGCAGAGAGGATTGAGGTGATTAAAACATTAACTACTGAGAAAAAGAAAAAAGGTTTTTGATTGGGAAAGTTGCTACAAAAGATTTCCTTTTTAGTTTCTTCGACAAAGGGCTCAATAATTTACTTATTCTTTGGCTTCCGAGGGCCACCAAAAACTGATCCCCGTGTTTAGAGGGYAGGTCTGTACTTGTGAGGACCACGGTCTCTGGGCCCATATCATGAAGTAAGTCCATCACCTGGAGAAAAAAAAGATTTGTCAAAAACCAAGAAAAATTCAACAAACAAGAGATGTTTACAATGGTCACCTTGATAGCATCATCCTCTGTGCAAATTTTCCTTCCAGTCAACAACCTAAAAAAACAAACAACTGTGAGCAGCTTTAAAGTTTGAACAGTTTAGATGTATATTTTTTATGAACTCACTCTGCTTCAAACTGGTTGGGGGTGAGGATTTCTGCCAAAGGCACTACTTTATTCTTGTAGATAGGCAACAGGTTCTCTGGAACATACTGATGCAACAAGAAAACAACAACAAAAATAACAAGTAAAACACGTTAAAATAATATTTTATCCAGATCTATGCACAGGAAACATAAAAAAAAGGCACATTTATTAACCTGCTTACCATAGCACCTTGGTCTCCCATGACAGGATCACAAACTGTGAAAAAGACTCTCAAGCGTGAGATTATAAATYAAGTATGAAAAACAAAATACAGTCAGTAACGTTACTTAATTTACTCACCATAGACCAAGCTGGAATTGGCCTTTTTCAACTCCTTGATAATATCAACCACCATTTCCAGGAAGGATGTGTCCCGACTGTACCCTTAGGAGAGAAGTTGTAAGCACGATGAAAAGATAACCTGATGACTCTATAAGGTTTAATGTGCTTGTTGGAAATCCTTCATTWCTCTGCTTCACAGAGTACTTCATATATTTATCCACAGAAAACTGTTTTTCTGATCAAACTGTAAATATGCACATCCTTATAGAAACATTTAATCATAACTATCAAKTTATGATTTAAAGTATGAACTTGTGGATGGTTGAATGAGGTTTCACTGATGTAAAAGTATTCAAACAAGTGTAAAATGGTTTCTTGTGATTGATACATCGTGTACATTTCACACATTATGGATGTGATGACAAATGAAGGATTAGATAAAGCTGGAGGCTACATATGATTATTTTCATTAGTGTGCTGAATTTGTATTTCAGTTGATACTTCAGGCAAAGACTCAAAGTTTCCATTTTGATGAACTTTTCTTTGTTCAACCTTTTATGCCTCACCTGTGAGAATGTAGTCGTAGCGGTTGACTTTATTGAGCTTGATGCCCTCGTACAACACCTTCAGCTCCTCTGCTGTCAGGACTTGTCCCTTCCAGTGGTCATAACCTGGAGGAAGACAGGACGCAGACATTTGGCAGTTTTATAGCTGATTGGATGTGATGTAATAAACACGAAATTATTAAAATATGGCTCCGTTGTGTCCCCAAAAAATTAACTATAATTAAAAAGGTCAAATGTATTCTCAAGTTTAAGGAAAACTTAACATTTAGGCCTACTAAAAATGCAGAAAAAAAACAACTTTAAGTTGCATTAGCATTAATTCACACAGTGGATGTGCCCCTCTTAGCTCTGCCTTTCCGGTCCCCAGCCTCTTTGTGATGTTGGGGGGCCAAGCGGGGGTCTCCACACGGACTGAATGGGAACCCTGTATCCTGAATGCCAGTCCCCTGCTTTGTTTTCTTTTCACCGTTTACCTCGAATAAACTTGTAAACGCTGTTCTGACTGCTAATGACTGGAGACCAAATGGACACAGACAAGGACATGATTTGGTGTACTGGAGGACAGAGTTCACACAAAGTCCAATCTTGACCCTGCGCCAGCGAACACACCTCCAGAGACAACGCTCACAGTGAAATTGAYCTTTACATGGGGAATATGTGCACAGCTGCTGCCTCCAGTGGCAATAAATATTTATAAATATCAGCATTATACATACAAATATACAACCACATTTCTGAAAAAGTTTGGCCGGGTTGAGCAGACGTTCTTATTGAAGTGATTTGGAAGGAAATGTGTCAAACTCCTATTGCGAAAACAAATTCTTCACATACTTTGACGCTTGAACCCCAGATAATAATCCCATCATCTCTGCATGTGTCCTGAGCCCTTCGTCTTTCACTAAGCTATTGTTTTCCCTCGATGGGGCAACGCTTCCACTCTCCAACATCAGAGATTTGTGGGAAACGAACAGCCACAGCCACATTCCTCACATGCTGTGTGGCAGGATTCATCTTCCTGTTATGATAAATAAATAGACGTTTTAAAAAAGGAGATATCTTTTTTGAAACGTTTGTTTTTTGTTAAATATTTCTCTATARAGTGTGTTGGCATTTGCTTTTAAAACACAGAAGTTAGGAGTTAACAGATACTCACAAAAAACGTGATGAACCACGGTAATCTCATCAAGTTTAACGTAAATAAAAAGGTGCCAGAAACTCAAAGATTAGTGGTTTCTAATGGTTTTGTAAAAATCTGTTCAGTGGTTCTTGAAATTATTTCGCATCAGTCTCACAAATAAGAATGTTTGAAGCAAATTCTAGKGATCCTTTCTTGGACTTGTGTCCCAAGTCCAGAGTTACACATGTACTAGTACAAAAGTTTATGATAATCTTTAAAAAAGGTACACAGTGACTGATTGTTTTGTTTAGGTAAATTATTTAAAAATAGATAGTTTATTCCCCAATTTACTGTCTGGATAATGATTTTATTTTCTTTTTAAACCACCTGGTGAAAGTGTTTGCAGCAAAAACAGCCAATATTATGATTCTCAAAACATAGATTTCTTTTTTTTTTTCCATATCGCTTTACACAAACGAGCACACAGTTGGTCAAAAAGGTTGCCCTGAATGTTAGACAAGGAACATTTTAAGTAGGTAAATAGCCAATATATTTTGTGAAAATAAACGAAACAAACAAATAAAAACCAACCTGTGTGGTTGGAAAACTGCACCGAGTTGATGGAGTCCACTTCAAAGCCCAGCACCTGGAACAACAGGAATGAAGCAGCTGTGAAAACAGAGAATAATGACGTCTCCAGAACCAGATCTGAACACATTTCTACATTTCACCGCACCATGTAAGAGTCAGAAACATATTTACGAGGCTTTATCCAAAAACAAGGCATAGATCAACCCAGAAATAATGAATATCCAAGTTTTCCCAGRGACAAAGTAACAATAAGGCAGATTGCTAGTAAGAACCTAAATATGGGGTGGTACAGAAACCTGGTATTTTTTTCAGCACCAGTTTCACGTGATGAATTTTGACCAGATCGATAAGCTCCAGCATTAGCAGCATCATTAACGGTACTGGAACAGTGACAAGCGAGGACACGGCACATGCTGCGTTTAGAATAAAGGAGCTCTGTTTTCCTAGCTCCCCTCACAAAGTCTGCTTCCCCTGTGCAGTCAGACTCAGCATGAAGGGCCCCTCAAAACAGCAGCAGCCGCTGTGGAAGATGGTGCGGCAGCATGAAGACATCCATACAATTGGCCAAATACATGAAGGGCTCCATTTGATTGGTGAAATACTTCAGGCTTCTGTCTGAGTGAAAAAAAAACAAAAACATTAATGCAAACTTTTGAGCCAAATA